TGTTATAAAAATTAATAGAATTGGAGATAGAATTATAACTTTAAAGATTGTTGTTGATGATAATATTTTTAATATTATAAGTGCTTATGCTCCTCAAGTAGGTTTGGATATGAGTTCTAAATTAAAATTTTGGAATGACTTAAAAGAATTAATACAAAATATACCTCTTGAAGAAAGAGTTTTTATTGGAGGAGATTTAAATGGACATGTTGGTAGAGAGGTAGATGATTTTAAAAGCATTCATGGTGGCCATGGATTTGGAACGAAGAATGAAAGTGACATGATTATATTGGATTTTTGTTTAGCTTATGATTTTTCAATTGCTAATACCTTATTTAAGAAAAGGAATGAGCATCTCATCACTTATAAAAAAGGATATAATACAACCCAGATTGACTATTTTCTTATTAGAAAATTAAATCGTTTAGATTGCAAAGATTGTAAAGTTATTCCGAGTGAAAATTTATGTACCCAACATCGATTATTAGTTTTGGACTTTAAGATAAAGGGGCATAAAATAAAAAATAAAGTAAAACAATTTTCTAGGATTAAATGGGGGCATTTAAAGAATATTAACAAAAATATTTTTGGAAATAAGATTTTAGATCTTAAGATTTTGTCTGTGCATGAGGATGCTAATATTATGTAGGAAAAAGTGGCTACTGATATTAAGAATATTGCAAAAGATGTCCTTGGAGTATCAAAGGGAAAAGCTCCCAATAGTAAAAATAGTTGGTGGTGGAATCCTAATGTGCAAGAAAAAATTAAAAATAAGAAGCTTTGTTATAAAAATTGGTTTAATTTTAAAAATTATGATAATTGGAAAATATATAAAGTGGCTCGTAAGGATGCTAAGAAAGCAATATGCGATGCAAAGGCATTAGCTTTTAGTGATTTATATAATAGATTAGATACTAAAGAGGGAGAAAGATATATGTATAAGTTAGCCAAACAAAGAGATAGGAGTAGTAAGGATTTAGTTCAAGTGAAGTGTATTAAAGATGAAGATCAAAAAATACTTTTCTTAGAAGATGATATTCAACAAAGATGGATGAGATATTTTGCTAAACTTTTTAATGAAGATTGTGAAAATAAGATTGACTATAGTGACCTTAGCACCCTAGATGAAAATAAAGATTTATGTTTTTATCGGCGTATTAGTAAAACTGAAGTTACAGAGGCTTTAAAGAAAATGAAGGGTGGAAAAGCTGTTGGACCTGATGATATCCCAATAGAGGTGTGGAAATGCTTAGGAGATGAAGGAATTTCATGGCTTACTAAACTTTTTAATACTATTTTGAAGACTAAAAAGATGCCAGATGAGTGGAGAATGAGTGTATTAATTCCTATTTTTAAGAATAAAGGTGATGTACAAGATTGTGCGAATTATAGAGGTATTAAGTTAATGTGTCATACTTTAAAACTATGGGAGCGAGTTATGGAGCATAGGTTGCGGCGTGATACTAATGTTTCTCAAAATCAATTTGGATTCATGCCGGGTAGGTCGACTATGGAAGCCATACATTTATTAAGAGGTTTGATGGAGAAATATAGAGAAAATAAGGAGGATCTACATATGATATTTATTGATTTAGAAAAAGCATATGATAAAGTTCCAAGAGAAGTGCTATGGAGAGTTCTTAAAAAGAAAGGAGTCAATAATGCTTATATTCAAATCATTAAAGATATGTATGAGGAAGCTTATTACTTGTGCCAAAACCACAAGTGGTATTGCCAAGTTATTTCGCCTATTATCGCTAGGAGTTATATCAAGGATCAGCCTTATAAGCCATAATCCTTTGCTTTAGTCAGATCGGTTCTCACTTAACATTTGCAAGAGACCAATGCATATTTCAATTGTACCCTTTGGTGTATGCTTTTTGCTGATGACTATTCCCTTGTGTTTGATAAGACAGAAGGAGTTGAAAAGTAAACTTGAAGTATGGAGGTCAACCTTAGAGCTAAGAGAGTTAGGCGCTTGAGTAGATCCTAAACCGAATAAGTATGGACGAAGTGTAATCAATCTTTAGTCAAATAAATACGGAACCCTATCGAAGGAGAATCTGGTGACTTGGAACTGATCAAAATAGTCAGTTAATAAAGGTGACTCACAAGCATAAAGATACTAATGTTTTAGCTATCTTGGAATCTCATTATATCAGATGTCCAGTATCAGTGAAATGCGTCGATGGGATATACCATCAGACAGAAAATTCCATGAGTTGATATGCGGTGAGTGCATGGAGCAGTCCGCCGAAAGCTGCTTATGTGATAAAAATTACCCCAATCAAAACTTAAGGTAATTTTTTGAGCAGAAAATTCAATCCAACCGCATCTTATAAAAGGATCTATGGTACTATCCAGAAGAAGTTCGTAACGCTCATAGGCGCGCACGCCAGTAACCAAACTTTTTTTTTTTTTCTTTTGCTTAAAATATATATATATATAATATATATATATTATATACGAATATATATATATATATAATATATTCAATCTATATATATATATATATATATATATATATATATATATAAAAATAATAATAGGAAATAAAACTATAATAATATATACAAAATAAAATAATTTTATTTTTTAAAATATATATATATATATAATATATTAAAAAATATATATAAAATAATATATATATATTATTATTATATATTTTAATAAAGAAAAATAAGAAAGATTATTACTAATAAAATATAATATAATAATAAATATCAATCTAAGTTAAGGTGTGGCCTATGAACCTGAAGGTCTTTTTTTTTTTTATTATAATGCTCAGGTGGATGAAGTGGCTTACCTTAGAGATAGGATACGAAATGAGCATATACGTGAAAAGGTTGAGTAGCTCCAGTAGAGATAAGATATAGAGAGAGTCGCCTTAGAATTTTGGTTTTGTCACATAAAACGGCGGCCTTCCGATGACCGGTTAAGAGAGTAGAGGTATTAGATTTAACTTATGTTAAGAAAGGTAAGGGTAGACCTAAAAAGACTTGGTTAGAAAATATTAGGATGACCTTTATTTATTAGATTTAAACGAGAATTTGACTTTTAATAGGACACAATGAAGAAAAAGGTTATGTAGCCGCCCTTAGTGGGATAAAGGCTTATGTGTTTTGTTTTTGTTTTGTATTCCATCTATATCTGAAAGAGAATATTTTATATAATTTGTTTATTATTTTTGGAGACTATTATAAAAAAGCAATGTAAATTTAAATGCTATATATGGTAAAATTGATATATAATTTTTTTTTTATATTAATATGCATAAGATTATCATGAGAGTATGAATTATATTATAATATATTTTATATTATTATATATATTTAATATATATATATATATAATATATTGATTTTAAAACACATGTAAATAAATATAAAGTGAAGTTAGAATGTATAATATATGTATGATACTTATATACACATAAGAATACAAATAAATAAGGGGAAAATAAAATGATATAATTTACAAATTTTAAATAAAAGCGTAATGAATAAATGAAAAATGGAAAATGATAAGCATGCAAACTACAGGAGTTCATTCCCGTATGGTACTGGCTGGGGAGCAACGTTCTCATGCATGTTAAATGGAAATAAAAATGGTTGTACATTTATTGATACATTTAGATGGTGCTCATATACTAATTGAATTGGAAAAGAAAAAAATGTTAAATTGTTATGAAATATATATGAAAGGTATAAAGTAATGAATGAATGAAATGGAAAATGATACGAAAAATATATGTATACTAAATGTTATATAAGTTTTAATATTGTATAAGAAAATGAGAAAAGAACATGCATTATATTTTATACATGTTTAAATGCTATATTAATGTATATTATATATGTATATATATGTATATTATGTATGGATATATAATATATAGTATATTAGTATGATGATTATATAATATATATATATATATATATTATGAATATGTTTAAATATATATAATATAATACGATCATATATACATATATATATATATATGTATATATATATATATATGTATAAAGATTATCCACTGAGTTTATCATATAAACTTAACCCATTAAACTAATATTTCAGGTAAGTCTCCAAAGAAATAGAAACGGCTGAAAGGGAGGAGTACGTACATAGAAGATGACGCGCAAATGAAAACAGGTAATATATGATTAATGTAAATATTTAGATTAAAGAAAATGGTATCAATAGTTTTATGAAAATTTTTTGTGATTGTGGTTCTTTAGTTTTATTGAGAAGTTGAATGTTAAATTGTTTATTTCCCGTCTGACTTTCGTTCTCATCTCATTAATTCGAGTATCCAGACCGGGTCTTAACACATGAATTGCATCTAATCCACCATATTCAGAACTTGTTCCTAGATCCAAATGATGGGAAGTTAGGCCAAGTACTTAAGCTATTAGAACCAAGTTAAAAATTTAGAATTTCATTAAAAAAAGCAATGAACTAAGTTAATATGGCTATTGTTGGAGATCTTTGTATAGGGCTGAGAAAAAAAAGGTCCTCACATACATGCACATATTCATAAACACACACCAACACCTATATATATAATGCAAGCTTGCATGGTAATAACCGACTATTTTTTTTTAGCTGGATCTAGAATAAAGGGCAACCTAGTGACCATTGGTTAAGACCGAGAATTCAAAAAGCAATGAGATTTCAAAAACCAAGATTCCCACGTCCGCCAACAATTAAACTTTAAAAGTAAAAGAATTTTACCAAACCACCAAATAGGCTTTAAATGACATCCGAAAATATGGAAAATTTTCATTAAATTCACTTACTTAAAGTTTATGATAAAACTTTACAATCACCTTCATATGAGATATGACCACATAAATAGTTATAAAAGAAATGGTTTCATTCAGAGCACTAAAATCTAATTACAAAATCTGTAGTATGAAGTAATCTGTGAAATGAATCCACTTATGCACCGATTTAAATGAAGAAAGCAATAAAACACCGGGTATTGTAGTCACCTCAAGAGGCAATGCATCAGCAGACAAGGCATGATTATCAGCAGTGAGAGGATTTTCAACTTCTGATGAAGTAAGTTCATGAATACCAGCCAAAATGGGTCGCCACCTCCTTAGAACAGCAACAAAAGGAGGTAAAATTGCTTCTAAATACTGTTTTCGAACAGGTTTCCTGTCCCTGTCAATAGCATGCCATACCTGCATCATCAGAATTACATAGTATAATCCTCTTCATATTATTTGTTTATGTGAAAAAGAAACTGTCTAACTAAGAAGCATTTGAGAATAATGCTATTTTCTTGTGTACAATAATAAGCGGTGAGGCACACGCATGGAAAAAGTTGTGACAGACCCTAAACTCCATTTTAGAAAGCAATAAAAAAGCCGTCCCAAACGAAGCCTAAGTGTAACCAACGATAAAAAACTGTAGCCAATCCGTTTATTCAGAGCTTAACGTTACAAATCTCATTAGGAAGAAAAGCAAGAATATTTGAAAAAGAAAGGTTAACTTCAGAATCCACAATTTATCATTTAAGATATGAATATTTGGAAAAAAAAAGAAAATCATTTTTCACATCGTCATGATCCTTTCACAACCCTTTAGTGTGAACTTTATGAATCCCTGTTTGCCATTTGTTCCTTTCAAGAGAAGCATATCAAGTTAGTTATAGCTTATGGAAATCTTCTTTCAGAATTACTAACCACATTTTGGACCATCCCACGTAATTCCTAGTTCATTCAGATTACTTGCTCTGTAATCCGGCAACTTGCTATCCTGCTATGGTTTTTACATTTGGGCAATAACTATAAATTAATTTCTAGAATTTTATCTACAATATATGCTACCACAAAACTCTTGTGTATTCTATCCCACTATCTTCAAGTTCTACAGTATATCCATAGTATATCCATCTTAGCACCTCTATTTATGTTATATTCAACCTGCTATAAATTCATTAACAAATACAGAAGCATCAAGGTCAATAGGTTTTATATTTATCACCAAAGATTTCGTGTAAAGTTGCTTAAACTCAGCCTTCAACCCAGGATTTCACGAAGTCTGAGGATTTTGGATCAAAGTCCTGATGCTAAAAGCTACTACTTTTCACTCGTAAACAATATTTACTTTACTATATCAAATTTCTACCTTAATCATGAGAGGACTTGCCACGCTAAAGTTGATCAATAGTCAAAGCATGGATATAAAAAGCCTTATTCTAGCTCCTTTGACCAGACTATTCCTGAGTGCATGTAGTTTAGTTTTCCTGATATTGAAACAATACATATACGTAAGCCAGAAGAACTGTAAGAGGGTCATAAGAAAAGGTAAGGCTATAGATTTTCATGAATTATATAATAAGTTTGTGCGAAAGAGAACTGAAGATTAATAAAATAGCCACTTAAAGATTCATAAAACAGAACAGGCAAAAGAAGAGAGATTTAAAGACTTTGGTCGTTTTAGGTCTTTTAATAGTGAAGATATTAAAGCATTCTTTTAAGAAATGAAAATAATTGATTGTTTTTTATTTGAAAATTATTGATTTATATAATAGAAGTGGCGTTTACCCATAATATGTTGTTATATTTTCTTTATCGTAATTCTAACTTAATCTTAACATTGATTTGACCTTTATTCTTTTAATTGATTTTCAATTTTTGAATTTTAACAATAAAAAATCAGTCAGTGGGCTAAGCCGGACATACAACTAAAGGAAGACTCGCAAAAAGAGGAATAATTAAAACACAATCTTTCAACTCAATATCAACACTTGATTAGCAGATCAATTAAGCAAGATGTCATAATTCCAACAAAACTCACTAAGATTATTGGAAGAAAAAAATTAGTTGATGTCGCAATGATAAGATTAATACAAGTCTACCAAGTAATGGCTACAAAGCATAACTCACTAGAACAAAAGATCGAGGTAAGTTCAAACTATCAAAAGCGGACATCAAATATTGCCCTTGAGCTTTGAAAATTTGCAGAAGAAAATAAAGAGCATTAAATTGGAGTGTGAAGGCGATTTGAAGGTGTCAGAATGGCTTTCAAAACTTCATTAGAAAGCAAAAAGTCTAATAATTGGTCTAACTCATTAGAAAGCTATAAGTTCATTTGAAAGAGACTATGATTTCATACGCTCTATTGGATATGTGAATATAAATTGTTCTACTTTTGTATATTCTTAGGCTATTGTATTTTTAAGACATAAAGATGGAATTTTGAATAAAACTACTAATACTTGAATAGTACCAAAAAAATTATGTAATTATCCCCTCTCTGGCCCATCTACGCACCCCTCATACCCCTACTTTCCTAGGCATAACAGCCTATCTGGCTTGGCAACATGGACTGAGCATCAACACCATAGCTTGTTCTAAGATAAATTGATTAATGAATGGGATCCGTAAGGGGTCAAACTTAGTCCTGCAAGGCACCACCCACTTATCTAGAAGCTTACGTTCAAAGGTTTGAAATAGGTATTATGATAAATCATAACGAAGTTTTGTCCAATATTAATCCGTTCAATTTTTTATCATAGAATAAGAGTAGATAAATAAAATTATCAGTAAAGAGTTGGAAGTTAAAAAGCCTAGTTTTTCATAAAGTTGTTGTTTTGACTATCATTTATCAATGATTCAATCCAAAGATTTCTAGCATAGAAAAGTAACTTCACGCTAAAAAAAGGAGCATACTAACCTCAGAATACAAAACACAGCATGCAACCAACACGCGTTGTCTCTTGGATTCAGACACTGGCATGTTAAGAAGTGGCCCAAGCACACTGCAAAAGATAAGATTGCCAGAAATTGTTAAAGAAAATAAATGCTTGCCAGCAGAAAGGGTAAGTTTGCCAATTGATGGTAGACACCAATGACTCACTTAGAAATTAGAAGTGGTATTTTTTTTAAGCATAATAGTATTGAACGATAAATTGTGCATAGTCCTTCTTAGGTGTACAGTTTTAGATAAAAAGGCTAGTCAGTAAAATGTAAATTATAAATTTTGGGTACGTACAACTTTACTTGAAATTTTAAGTAAAACTCTATGTTTTATATTGATATTGTGTCTGCTTCTGAAAATTTAATTATGAGAAATAATTTTATGATTAGAATATAATATATGTGCTGCAATAATCTGGACAGATTAGTTTTCTACTCACTTAATCCTAATGAATGTAGTTCAGGATGGGTGGTATGGGAAATGTATATGGCTGGATAATCTATCTCTGCTGCACATTAAGTTGACTAAAAGGAGGTCAAAATGGGTTGTGGTAGAGTTAAGGTTCCATGAAGAATAAAGAATATCTTAAATGTCAATTTCTTCTTGAAAGGCTTTCAAATTATTGAAAAGCAGCCATCAAGCCTTTTTAGCTAAAATCAAAGATACCAAAAAAAGTGAACAAATTGAGTGAAATACCATTTGTGAGAAAGCAGTTACAAATCTATTTAGAAAATTAATCTGGTATACCTCCATTCAGAGAGAACATGTTGCAAAGGCACTATATAGAATAGCAATTAAAGAATTGCAAGAGTTGGGAAGTCAGAATATAAGAATTGCTGAAAAAGATTTTATTAGACCTAATACATCACCATGGGAGCTCTAGTACTTTTTGAAAGGAATAAGGATGAGAATTTCTGAATGTCTATCAACTATAAGGAATTGAAAAGCTCACAATCAAAAATAAATATCAGTTGTCGAGAAATGATGATCAATTTAATCAACTTGAAGGTACTATAATTCTCTCCAAAATTAATTTATGACCCGGTTATCACTAGTTGGGCATTAAAGATGCTGACATAGCTAAAATCTCATTTAGGAGATATAACCATTATGAATTTGTTTTTTGAGTTGATCAATGCTCCAGTTATATTTTTGTGAATCTAACGAACAAAATTTTAAAACTATTTTTTTGTAGATGCAACAACTAATAACTTTCAAAAATGTCTTCCAAATTATCAAATCCAATTTGAAAGTTCCCTAAGATTATATTTACTAATGAATGTAAGAATATAATTATAAATCTCATGATAGTATTTTGTAGACACAATGAAACCTAAATTACCTAATTTTGTTTAAATTGCCTTATTTAATATTTTAAATTGACCAAGTTATATGATAGGACTTCATTATCAAAACAGCACCCAACAATAAAGAAAACAACAACTTACTCCAAATAGATCCAGAAATAACACCAAGAGGTTTGTATTTACTAATCTCCAAACAAAACACCCAAGTATTTAATAAACTCCAAAAAAACCCCCAAAAAAAACTACTGAAAAAAAAAAAAAAAAAAAACTCAACGTAAACCTTAACACTCAATAATATCCCTCCTTAAATAGCCAAATGCTCTAGTAAATTCCCCTTACATCTTTCCAAAAGAGTTTTCCCCCAAAGCCTCTTCTCCGATAGGTGATAAAGGAGGTCATGGGCTCCACCTTGGCAGATGGGCCGCCAGCAGCCGCATCAACACTCCCCTCCCAAAAAGTCACCTTATCCTGAAGCTAGAAAGAAAGAAACTACTTCTAGATCGTATTGCAGGGCTTCCATGTCACCTCATACTATGGTAAATCCTTCCACTTAATCAACGTCCTCCTAATCCCCTTCCCTCCTTGGCGCACTCATTTTACCTCTCAGTGGTTCTACTATCACATTCATATCCTCTAATTGTGCGGCTGGTAGTGTGGGTGGGGTGTGTAGTTTTCAATGGCTCATCTCTGTTATACATGAAAAACGAGATTAATGGCTAAGGTCAGTGGAAATTGTAGGATATGCTACTGTGCCAATGCTCTCCATTACCCCGTAGGGCCCAAAGTATCGTGGGGGGGGAGCTTTTCATTCCTTCTTCAAGCTAAAGTCCTCTATCTATAAGGTTAAATCTTTAGATAAACCTCTTCCCCAACCTCAAACTGCACATCTCTCATGTGTCCATCCGCCTGCTTGTTCATGATTTGTAGTGCTGTCCGTAGATGTTCCTTCAATTCTACCAAAATCTGATCACTTTCTCCCAAGTTCTGTTCCACTGATGACATTGGTGTGTTTTCATGCCCATAATGTATCAGATGAGGTGGATCCCTCTCATATAAGATTTTATATGTCGTTGTCTGAGCTGTTGTATGAAATGAACTGTTTTAAAGAATTCCGCCCAGGTTAACCACTTGGCCCACATCTTTGGTGTATCTGATACAAAGCAATGAAAATAAGTCTCCACATTACAACTCACCTCCTCCGTTAAGCCATCCATCTAGGCATGGTAAGTTGTAATCCGCTTTAGGATAATCCTCTGCATCTTGAATAACTCCCTCCAGAAGTAGCTCAAAAAGACCTTGTTTCGATCGGACATAATGGCCTCGGGTATGTCATGCAAAAAGATCACCTCTATAATGAATGCGACTACCACCAGCATCATAGTGCATGAGTGACATAAGGAAATAAAATGAGCATATTTTCTCAATCTATCTAACACCTCTAGAATCACAGTGAACCCTTCCGATCTAGGTAGTCCCTCAATAAAGTCCATAGTCTCCTCTTCTCACAACTTCTTGAGCAATGCTAAAGGTTATAGAAGACCACCTGAAGTTATAGCCAGGTATTTGAGCCTCGACACACATCACAATTGGCCACCAACTCCAGTAAATCCTTCCAAATACCCACCCAGTATAGCTATGTTGCCAATCTATGATATGTCTTCTAAATTCTATATTAGTGTGCAGCATAGAGAGACAAGTTCATGAATAGGAAGAAGCGGGATCGAGATGAGATGTTGTACGGGAGATCAAGAGGGATCAGGTGAGGCATCTTCCTTCAGCTTCCTATGTTTGTGTGCAGCACAGAGAGACAAAGGAAGAAATGCGAGGGATTCTACATATGGTTCCTGCAAACACGAGCAGAGATAGTTGAATCAAAGGAGCGGTTCCTTCCGTGAAGTTTAGTGAAAACGAAAGGGAGTGTTGTTTGGGGAGCGAATCGGTGTGAGGTGGGCCGCGATGTGGGATGGTTTGAACAGTTGGGATTCATGCAGCTGAAGTTGGGTTTGAGAGGATCAGGTCTGGAGGGGGTTTAGTGGTCAACATCTGCAAAAATTCAGGAAGCAGTGAAAGAAATTTCTACAAGATGTTGTGCACCTCGTCTCAAGGGTGCCAAGCATACCACAAAGATTACATTTCAGTTCAAAAAGTTTTAAATCAATAAAGACTGAATTATAGTGCTTTTATTGCTTCACTAACTTAAACATATCAAGCTAAATAGGACAATTCCCTTTTGGTAATATAGTTGAACAAGAAATATAGGATCAACAGAACAGAAAAGTTTAGACGTTGATACCTCCAAAGTAGATCTGACCGTGGCTTTCTCATTGACAACCGATGACTTTGATCTAAGGATTTTGCATACCCGGCTTGATGACCTAATCCTTCTGATATGGCATCATTTATGTTTGTGGTTCTCACAAATATGTCACCCTCTCCATGATCTTCTTCCCTCATTGAAAGAAGTATCATCCGAAGCATGCAAAAAAAAGGTTGATCACTGTCCAGTAGGTTGTAGAGAGCTGTCAGTCCACCCATACCTGTGCCAGAACCACCACCAATACTATGCCCACTACCAATTCCACTTTCATCTAATAGAAGCGCCTGCAGCATGATCATAGACTTTTTCACTAGTGGAAGTTCTATCCACTTTCCATTTGAGTCCTTCTCAAGAACAGATTTCCATGATTCCCATCCACTTGCCCCAGCTCCAAATGTTGTATTAGATGGAAGACCAACACCATACCACATTCTGCTTCTTTGTTTCCAACTCGCAGCTAGATCTAAAACACAGCTTCCATAAGACACAAAAGCACACCGAACAGAGTCAAAAGGCTCAGCTGCAGCTGCTGCAGCAAAGCGCTCCATTACAGCAGCAGGAACTTGTCCATTTTCATCTGCCTCTAAAGCAAGGACCTATTGATCAACACAATCATAAGAAAAATGAAAAGAAAAAAAAAAAGATAGAAAGCATATAAGGCATATCGAATTAAGAATTGTACTTGCAAAGGTTAGAATTAATGAAAGACTAATAGTTCAATCATGGATGAATTTTCTCATCACCATCAACTTCTGATAACCCTGCATAAACAGTGGTAGCAATGCTTAAAACTTCATAAACTTGTTAAGCTTACTATTAGATAATTTGAAGTTAAGCTCCACCCAATTTTACAATTGCTTCATGGAATAGATCTTATAAATATCAATTAAAGTAAAAAGTATAGGTGTACAATATACGGATAAAAAACTTATACTTAAGGTGATCCTAACACCCAAAGAAAAAACTATAAGCAACGACCATTGATATAGTAAATCAACGAACCTGGTATAAGTGTTTCACGAAGTTCAGGAATTCAACACCAAATAAATAACCTTGAAATGATGAAATCAAGAAATAAATGAAAGCCAACAATCCAACGCAAACTTTAATATCTCAGTAATCAGCTATAGTTACTTAAACAATGATATCTATTCTGCAATCAAACGTTTTACCACAAGAATATGCAGAACAGGACAATCACATGTATACAGTGTGCGTAAAGATGAATAGATGATAACCGTGCTGATTAAACAAGATGCCCTAAATATTTCTAGAGTCAATTCTGCACACCTAAATATTTTCTGCAGGCCCGTGCATATCTTTTAAGATTCCTAAAGCACACTCTTAAAACGATGAAATATTTTCTAAAGACCTCAACCAGTTTTATGATTTCTACACTTCTCTTGACTGCTGAATTTTCCAAGTAGGTCACAGGAAATTCTGTCATCCTATTAACCCCGTCTAATGAGGATTTTTGGTGAAAGTAGATAGGTTCATGGAAGCTAATCAAAACCTTAGATGGCAGTAGTTGAAGGATAAAAGTTAATAAAAAAGTGCTAAGTATTATTCAAAAGTTTTAATTGAAATAATTAACCCATTAAATTGTAGAAAAATTCCACTGTTTTACTAATAAAAATAATCATCTTGCACTGACTATAAATAATATAGGTTGCTGTAACTGATTAGTACTTTTTCCAAGTTGTAGAAGATGACGTTACAGCAAGAAAGATAAGGACAGAAACCTTTAGAATGGCAGAAACGAAGATTTCCATTTCTTTGTAAACTATCATTCAATGCCCTGTTCACATAGAGACTGTGTATTTATAAGTGTATACATGTACAGGTGTAGAACTGTAATTGGCTGAGTTTGTTACAGGCTAACTGTTTGGCATGTGGACATGTGCAGTGCTACCATCTGCACATGAACCGTTGCTAATCTTGCCTCCAAGCATGTGATGAATGTATGAGGTGGTTTTACGTCCCCGCAAACTGACGGTGGAAGACATGTAACTATTAGTTTGGATCTAAGATTTTGAAACCTGGAAGTGGGAAGAGATTTGGTGAAGATGTCAGCAAATTGATCGGTGGTGCTGATAGGTACAACTGTGAGTTCCTCTGAACTAATATGATCCCGTAGCAATGGAAGACATGTTATCGTAGTTGAGCACTGTCGGTTGAGTGTGGAATGTGAAAGTCCAACAGAAGACGCCTGAGCCATATTACCTCTGCTGCGGATGCTGCTGGAGAGCGATATTCTACCTCGGTCTAGGAGCGGGCGACTGTCCGCTGCTTCCTTACTGTCCATGAGATAAGATTGGTTCCAATAAATGTGCATTAGCCGGACGTGGAGCGACGGGTGAGGGGATCAGTTGCCCAATCGACATCGGCGAATGTCGTGAGTGTAAGTTCTATTTTGGAGATGGGAAGGCCATAGCTGGCGATGCCTTTAAGGTATTCGAGGAGGCGTTTAAGTAGGTGATAATGTTGGGACAACGGAAAATGCATGTGCTGGCATAGTGTGTTGACGGCGAAGGCAATTTCCGGTTGGGTTATGGCGGCGTACTGTAGTGATCCGGTAAGTTGTCTATATGTGATGGATCAAAGAGGAGAATGTCAGTTGGTATGGTGGAAGGAGGTTTGGTGAAGGACTGATTTGATATGGGTTTGCACTGGGATAAACCAGTCTGATTGAGAATGTTGTGGATGTAGTTTGTTTGAGAGAGGATAAGCTGGTTATTGTGAGAGGTTATGTGGATGCCGAGGAAGCTGGAAGGAAAGCCAAGGTGTTTGATGTAGAATTTGTTGTTGAGAGAGGATATTATATGTAGAAGATGTTGGGAATTGTTGCCAGTCAAGAGAATGTCGTCGACGTATATTGGAAGGAAGGTAGTGTTTTGGTTTTGGTGTAGAATGAAGAGTGGGGGATCGGATTTGCTGGTATGAAAACCAAGTGAGAGAAGATGAGTAGATAAGGTTTGAAACCATTGGCGGGGTGCTTGTTTTAGACCGTACAGGGATTTTTGAAGTAAGCATACATGAGTGGGAAGTTGAGGATCCTCAAAGCCTTTGGGTTGTTTCATATAGAGAGTTTCGTTGAGGGATCTATGGAGAAAGGCGTTGCTAACATCAAGCTGATGTAACGGCCAGGAATTGGTTAAGGCAAGTGTGAGAAGGACACGGATTGTGGGAAATTTGGCTACATTGCTGAATGTCTCGCTGTAATTCAGGCCATATTCCTGTCGGTGGCCTTGTGCAATGAGACGAGCTTTGTATTTTGAAATGGAGTCGTTGGGATGTCTTTTGGTTTTGTAGGTCCAACAAGAGCCAAGTATGGGTGTATTGGATGGTGGAGGGACTAGGATCCATGTCCCTTGTTGTTGGAGGGCTAAAAACTCACTGCCCATGGCAGAACGCCACTATAGGTGTTTTGAAGCTTCAGCATAATTTGTGGGGTCTGAGTTGTACTTGAGATGATGGTGGAGTTCAAGTATTTTTTTGGGTTTAAGGGACCCAGTTTTATACCTAGTAAGCATGGGGTGAGGTTGGGGAGATTGAACTGTTTGAGTGGAGATGGGTTGTATGGATACTTGGATAGCGGTTGTGGTTGGATTGGGGGAGTAAGAAGTCTGCGAGGAAATACTGAGTGGAGCTGGGGTTGAATGATGAGTAGTTTTTGTGGAGTTGACACTGGAGTCAAGCTGTAGGGGGGAAGGGACTGGAGAGGATTTATCAAGAAATCCTTCATAGTTGTTTGCTTTAAACAACTTAAAGATTTGAGACCTCCACATGGAATAGTTGTCATTGGAAAGCTCTATGGGCACAATGGTTTTGATATTGGATATAAGAAATTTTAGGGATGTGGGAATAGTAATGTCTTCAGATAGAAGTTCTGTAGATGCTTCTTCCGTGTGAGATGAGGCAGACAAAGTTGCCATATGTAAATTCAAGGGCCTGCGAGCGAAATTGGCTCTGATACCATGTAGAGGATGACGTTACAGCAAGAAAGATAAGGACAGAGAAATCTTTAGAATGGCAGAAAGGAAGATTTCCACTTCTGTGTAAACTATCATTCAATGCCCTGTTTACATAGAGACTGTATTTATAAGTGTATACATGTACAGGTGTAGAACTGTAATTGGCTGTATTTATAAGTTCACTTAAGGTGAGCATTCAAAGAAGATTTCAGAAGACCAAAAAAAGGATTCCACATCTTGGTTTCATGCAGATCGCAATGCCACGCCAAAGACAGTACTACAATAGTTGGAGAGGACAAGCACTGTGCATGCAAGTTTTATTACTCCAAGTGCCTGATGTGGGTTTAAGATACATAAGTGAGTTAATTCTAATAACACAGCTATTTAGAAATGGTTCTTAGGATTTTTCATTTTGATAGCTTGTAGATTAAATTAATAATGAAGTGTGCTTAGAACATTACAAAATATTATCATATTTAGTCAACGGATGTGTAGTACGATAGTTTAGGCGTGTGATCTTAACCTTTTTCCTGCCTCGACAAATCTCTAGAGCCTTCTTTTAATTTTAGAAACAAAACAACTCAGAGAAAAGAAACAATTAAAACCAAAAAAATAGCTATAATTAGTTGCCACTTATGAAGCAAAGTGATCAGCATAACAGGATAGCCAGAATGAATTGATAGAACTAAATTCAATGAATAATAGACATACATCAAAAGAAACACCCCCTGCCTGACTAGATATTGATGCCCTACTAGAACCAACAGTGTTGAATGATTCATGGCTTGTGCTTCCTATAGAGTTGGAGTTGACGAGTTTTGCAGAAGAGATTCCGACCGAAGATTGAACACAATCAGCTGCGTGTGAAGAACAGTACCACTGTCCTTGTAACCGCAAATGATCTTCAACAAGCATTAAAATAACGATTGCATTCTCAGCCAAAGCCACAGTAAGTTGTGCGGCATGTTCTGCTTCAACTTTGGCTTCTTGTGGTGAAGCTTTCGCAACACCAGCAGCTGCTGCTGCAACAATTTGAGTCTGCTACAAAACAAAACCTGGATGAAGACATCACGAGAGTACCTTAAAATGCCAACATAAAGATCTAGAGTTCATTCTGTCTTTAAAAGAACAAAAAAATCTGTGATTTTCAGAATCCATAAAGTAATGTAAGATTTAATCCAAATGAAGCAGAAAAAGGAAAATAGATTTGAAGCATTCACCCGAGATAACACTGAGCATTGTCCAGATATTTCATGTAAGGAGAATCTCAATTGTGCCATGGCTACACAACAAGATACCAAAATAATGGTACTCTAGAGATTACTATGAATACCCCCTGCAGTACCTGTACTCATTTATATTTTTGCATATTAAATATTAAAAATATTTATTAATATTGGTCAATTTCACTCAGTAACACCCATTAGTTATACTTTTCATGAAAGCATTTCAGGTATTTTAATAACACAATTCTGGTTTTGATGCCAGGTGCTCAAACGCATGTTATATAGAGTTAACAATCTAAATATGATTGCTAAGAAATGTAAAGAAAATAGTAAAATGCAAGGACATTGGCATATGGATTAAAGATGGTTCTGAGGATGCATGTCGATAAAAGCTCGACAGTTGATGCAAGCAAAAATTTGGAAAAGCCCCAAATTTTTTCAAGCAAAAGACACACGCTTCCTAGGATAAAGAAAATACACGAAATTTTAAAAAATACGATAAATCACAATTTATACGACAAACAACAAACTTTTTAAATAAAACATGACACTTACAACAAAGGACGCCTACAAACAACGCTTACAAACTTTTAAATAAAAGCTTCTAAAGTTGCATTTCTTGAATGAGAACTAAGGTACTGATGAGGTGAATACTTGCAGGAAGAAGAATGAGATTAGAAGCCGCGACGAAGAGTGAAGAAGCTCGCAAGCCTTCCCAAGAAGTAGAAGAAGAAGAAGTGGAACAAACTCTCAAGTTTTTCCAAAAACCCTCAGGTTTTCATGTCCAAAAAACAGCCATATATCATCCTTTTTTCTTTGCACAAACACCTTATATTTATAGGAGAAAAGAGGGCAGCCAAACAGTCCTTTTATCTTAATTAAATCGGTTCCAAAAATCTGTCCAAAAATCAATCCAGATTTAATCCCAAAACAGCACTTGAAAAGCCACCAAAAGGGGCAGTATTCACTCCAAAAACAGCAACCAAATAGCCTTGCAATTATTCCAAAACAGCTCCCAAAAAGACAGCACATGAACCGGGTAAAACAGCCAGGGAAGCAGCCAAAAAGGCGGCACCCCGGGTAGAGGAGCACGTGAAAGCAGCCAGGGAGCAAACCGAAAAGGCAGCATAGGAACCGGGTAGAGGCAACAATGGGAAAGAAGCCAGGGAGCAAACCGAAAAGGTAGCACAGGAACCGAGTAGAGGCAACCACGGGAAAGTAGCCAGGGAGAAAGTGAGGGAATGCAAAGAAGGGGAAGAGGCAAGGTTCTAAACTCCACATAATGAGCTTTAAAGTGCAATAACTCCTCATATTAATGAGCTAAAATTAGTTCAAGCATTAATGAGCTAGAAACAAGTAGTTCTCAAGAATTTAGCTCAAAGCCAAAGCAGACAAGGCCTAATCCGAAAGGCAATCAGCAGCTTTAAAGACCAAAAGAACCCAAGTTGTTTAGAATCCACCCCCTGCCTACATCAACAGTATGATTATCTATAAAGACTCCCATGTATGGACGAGAGAGTTGAATGCTCCATGGATTATCACAAAATCGCAACAAACATACTTTATATAGGCTAGAGTTTCCTCCATTTTTTATCACTTAAAAAAAAGCGCAAACATTATGATTGTCAAACTTAGAACTGTAACACACCCATGCACGTGCTTACTAAGCTACACAAAGAAATACCTACATATTCAAGGCTGTCAAAGGTTGTGCATGAAATTAATTGCATGTGAAAACTTAAAAATGTTAAACAAACTCATGAAAATTAAAATAAGAAGGGACTAGAGTAATAATGAAAGATTTGATGATTAAATTTTTCCCGTTATTCTATTTAAAAAAATTCATAAGAAGCTATACATAAATTGGTGGAGAAACAAATTTGGAAACAATTCTTAATTATGGAATTCAAAATTAACTATGCAACAAAAAATAGAAAGCTATGTCTATGTTATTAGTTCTGTGCGGAATATGATTGTGTTAATCAATCGGGTTGTAGACTCAGAACCTCAAGATTCAAAGGCGAAGCCTAAAAAAATGTTTCAATCTGTACAGCATTACGGCGCTGTATTCTGGAGCATTGTGGCACTCCAAACCCCAGCGCCACGGCACTACGAGCCAAGTTGGAGACTGAGTGGAGCGTTGCAACATTTCAACCCCCAACACGACAATGCTGTGAGTCAGGTTAAGCAATTTTTCTTCCCTCTTATTCTTATTTCACTTGAAGTGCTGCATCCTTTGGATGTTTATAAGTGTGTCCCTTCTCTATTTTCAGGAGATTACAGTATGAAGTGAAAAGAGAGTGTGAGAAGAGAGATCTGTACAGTTTCTCCCAATTTTCATAATGAATTTATTGGTGTTGTGTAGATCTGTTGTTTTTCTAGGTTTCATGTTATTCCACATTATATTCTATGTTATTTTTTCTTCAGTTTAATTTTTTTTCTTTTTCATTGTGTGATTATACTTCCCAACACATGCATTGCTAGAATATTATAGATAGGAACACATGCACTGCTAGATTATTATAGATAGGAAGCAAATATTCACTATTTGTTGGATTATTGCAGATAGAAAATGGTTGTTCACAGATTGTTGGATTATTATAGATGAAAAAAAAAACTATGACATGCATTAGGGATTATTTCAACAGCCGTGAACACTCAATATAGATGACACACTTAAAGCTCGTGTAAACTGCAATGGATATGTGAAGGTTGGTAAAAAATTATTGATCATAGGGAAATTCATAAATATGCATATAACTACATAATTTGAATGCCTTAAAATTTTGTTAGTGTGGGATATGTTTGTAGATTAAGGATGTACTCATAGAAAGCAAAATTAGAATATGTTTTCATTCATGAAAGCCCACTAATAATGAGAAAATAAAAATAAAAAACATCAAACAATCATGTATATTTCAATTGGCCATAATATAACAACTTGTGTATGTTATCTTTAACTTGATACAATAAATAATCAAAATATTGATATCCTTATAATCAAAAAATAATGTTGTGGACTTAGATGCCTTCAACAACGAGCTCTCATCACGACTTATCCTTCACACATTACATGTCATAACAATGATCACGACTTCTCCATCACACACCAGAGGCCACATCAATGCATTTGCTAGCAACCTTCTGTTGCAACTTCCTCTTCTTAGTTGTTAAGACTTCCAAATTTTCGGTATTAGCAGAAGGGAGACAAATGAGACGAAAGCTGAGGGATCAAGAGAGGGAGCAGTACAGCGAGCAAGTGGACTAAGGAGATACAAGATAGCTTTAGCAAGACAAGAGGCCAGGGAGCTCGTGAGGTCTAAGTTTAAGAGAAAACGAGAGAAAGGCGGAGCAGGCTAAGGGTTCAAGGACAAAAGAACAGAGGACGAGAGAAGAGGCAAGGGGTTGTGGATAGTTTTTTTGTTGGGCTAAGGTGACAAATAGACGAGACTCTACCGAAAAAAAAAAAGACTTCTCACAACAATACAAGTACAAGGCTGGGATTTTTAGGTATTACAAATATTAAGGACTTGATTTTACAATTTTTTTAGTTTTAATAAAATAATAATAATAAACTAAATAACATGTGTATTGACCTTTCTCTCAAATTCTTATCATTCAGGAGATTCAAATTTCGTATGTCACCTCATATGTAAGTAAATATTTTGCATTTTCCACGTGTGACATCCTGAGCAATATAGACATCCTTTCCAGATATTTTTGACAATCTAAACATGCTGATGCAATATGTTTGGCGAAACAAACAAACATTAAGTACTTTTAATTGCGATTGACGCATTTCAAATCAGGCTTGCGATATGTCACATATGTTGTTGGCCATTTTTTATAAGTTTGAATGAATTGAAACATGGTTTACATACATAGGTCAAAAAATGCCACAATGGATATAATGTGTGCCTAATGTCAATCATATTTTTTGCAAACTAGTTAATCCTGTGAATCGTCAAAAATTTGCTTGGATGTCACTCAAAAGGCTTGACTTTACAACTCTTCAATAATTTGATTGGAAATCATGCTGAGAGTTGAGCTTTGTGGATATCTAAGAATTTGATTGGATGTCATGATGAGAACTTGATTTTACAGATATCCAAGAATTTGATTCTATTGCATGCTGAGATCTTGACTTTATAGATTTTTGAAAGTATTCATGAATATCTATGGAGCAAGTTGAACATTAATATGTACCCATACATTTTTTTTTTCAATTAATTTTAATTAACAATATGTAGCCATACATACTTGTAAATAACCTTTGGTTAAGATTACATCTTGTCTCTAGGGACTTTGATGAAGACTGACAATTACTTCTAGGTATAAGCAAATATGACCTTAAGATTAGGTATGAAATTTGAATTTCCTTGGCTCAGCTACAATAGCATGTTGAGCAAATGAAGTTTGCAATCCTTTGTACATTACAGAATTGATGATGATAACTTTTTTTTTTTTTTTGCAAATTTAATATTTGGGGTATCTTCTTCCTGAATTTTTTTCTTTGGAGAACCTGATGATCTCGTTTTAAGAATTTTGAAGTTTGAAGTTTCTTCTATCTTACGCATTGTGTTGAATGGACTTAGCGAAGGATTGAACAGATTTATCATTATTAATATGTCAGGAGAAATAACCATGCCTTATGTCCTATGATTTTTGTTTAGATAGACATAATGAAGGATGTGTGCCAGTCTATTTTAACATGATGAAGGATATATGCCAGTAACTTATCCCTTGAGGCTTGTACGAAGTCGATGGCAATGAATCTTCGGTCCAATGCCTAGTGCCTTGGTAGATCTATCA